TATTTTTATTATCTCCAAAGAAACCCCTTGGATTAACATTATTTCAGCTGATATTCTTCTTGAAATGTGGTGGATCTTAAAAACCTATAATATAAGTGGGACTCTCTTTAAAGAAGCTTTGAACTGAACTTACACTTCTTAATGCTGAAATTGATACTTTATCCATACATTTTAAGAAAATAAGTATGTCAAAGAAGATGTTAAGCCAAATGTTACCCTTATAGCTCAGAAAAAGTAAAAAATTTCAAGTTTTCTCTCTACAGGCCTTGTTGCCCCTTTAACTAGCTTCAGGAACTGAGAAAATAAGTGTAACACATAGTACTTAAGGCAACAAAATTTTATCACTGACTTGCAACAGTATGTTTAGTTTTCCATTATGATTTTTAGAACAACTTGTCACACATACAGAACACCATGAGAAAGCTTGTCTTTTGTACTCTAATTTCCTTTAAACTTAAATCAAATCAAATCTTCAGGGACTGAGGAATTGTCTTCTTCTTACTATAAAGAACAATGGTGTGTCTGTCATTCTGTCTGTCCGGACATCTCCTCCTAGACTGTGAGTTATAGTAATAAAACACACATTAGCACACACTAAAATGGCCGCCATTTTCAAAATGGCCAAGTTCTAGCCAAGGTGTCATGCCATTCTTATGAGTACATGTATTCCCATATCAAATTTATGAACAAAATTGCACCACTACTTTTCAAGTTAAAGCAAAAATCTTAAAATACCCTGTAAAGGGCACCATTTTTCAAGGTGGCTGTCATGTATTTGTTACTTATATACATTTCTAGCTTTATTATGTCCTGTATAACTTTTTTACATTTAAATCATATCACTTATATGTTGTACCTAAATTACTGTAAAACTGGAACTAAAATGGCCGCTATTTTTAAATGAGTGGCCATTTGAAAATTGGCTTTCGAGCAGAACTTCCACCCAATAGGGTATATGTATACAAAATATGAACAAAACTGGGCAACAGTATTTGAGTTATTGCCTTTACGGATGTACGTCGAAATTTCTCTGATTAAAGCATGCATGTCTGCATTAACTGTCAAAATTGTACTTGTACTTCATAATTTCGAACATAGCTGTGCAAGTTCCAAAAAAAAAAATAAAAATAAAAAAAAAAAAAAAAAAAAAGAGGAATTAAGAGAGCAAGATGAGCTAAATAGGGCGATAATCAGGAATTAAGAGAGCAAGATGAGCTAAATAGGGCGATAATCAGGAATTAAGAGAGCAAGATGAGCTAAATAGGGCGATAATCAGGAATTAAGAGAGCAAGATGAGCTAAATAGGGCGATAATCAGGAATTAAGAGAGCAAGATGAGCTAAATAGGGCGATAATCAGGAATTAAGAGAGCAAGATGAGCTAAATAGGGCGATAATCAGGAATTAAGAGGCTAAGAGAGCATATTTTGTTAACATATATATATATTCATCTGCATAATAACTGAGTGAATATATTTGCAATTTAACTACGTAAAAGTAAATGAAGCATGATAAATAAACATTTCTGAAATATTACAATGTCAATAATTGTTATATTCATTTCATAAATACTGTACAGGGTGGTGCTGAAAAATGTCCATTTTTAAAAATACATAGATTTTCTTGATATTTTTGCAAGTGATGCAGTAATCATTTATCCAGTCAATCCCAACATGGCACCAGACACAATCATATATATGTTTGAATGAGTCAGGTAAAAAGGTAATACAGGTGTGAATCAAATTAGCTCACGGTTTCAAGGTAATAATACTAATGTAAAACATTACCTTCTCATTTATATAAATAACAAGTTCTTTAGTTTGTAGGCTCAATCTTGCACTTCAAAGATCATCCTTTCCACAAATATTATCTCAGAATACTTTACCATATGCAGGCAGATTTTCTCAATCACTTTTTTCTTGATGCTGAATCAATTTTCTTTTACCGTATCTCATTTTGTCTTTTATATGATATTTCCAATATTCCCTTTACTTTCGTCTTGAAATTATTTCAAGGTTTAATGAACACCATTCCTAGCTTATTGTGTCTCTCTGACAGGCTGAAAAATGTGTCTCATCCTTTTGTGTGAGGCATAGCTAATATCAATGTAAAATAGATGCTCAGAAGTCAAAATACATTTATTATCTTGACATCTGTATATTGCCTAGTTTTTCAAAACTTTGCACCTCTATTAAAAAAATACATATATTCTAAGCAAGGCACATGACATGAACGAGATCACACCATCAAAAAACCTTCAAAATGGTCGTCAGAAAACAGGATAGGTCTAGAACTTGATATCCTATATCATGTGTGCAAATTTGGAGAAAATCAGATGAGGGGTTTTCTTGAAATGGGGATGAGAAGATTTATCAAAACCTTTAAAAATAGCCACCAGAAAACAAGATGGGCACCCAAAAGTTAAGCTCTAGAACTTGATGTGTCATGTGTCACAATCATGTGTGCAAATTTGGAGACAATCCAATGAGTGGTTTTTCTGAAATGGTGATGATAAGTTTTACTGAAAAACCTTCAAAATGGCCATCAGAAAACAATATGGCCACCCAAAAGTTAATCAGGTCTCGAACTTGATATCCTCTATCAGACGGGACCATGACCACAATCACGATAATGATCATGCCGTCATCATGACAACTTTATCCCACAGATGGTGTGATAAAAACCATTTCTAAGAAAAGAATATACATGTATGTACATTTTTGGCTCAACATGTATTAGGCAATAAGCACATTAAGAGATCAGTATACAGTGGACGGACGCCCCTAGGCTGACAATATGGTCCCACACTATGTGATGGGGACATAAAAAGTACAATTTGTTTCACAATTTATTTCATTTTTGTTCACATCATACATTTAACTATAATTTAAACATATTGTAAGCTAAAAAAGTATGCACCTTAGAATGTGACCTTGAACTAATATTTTGTATCATTAGGTGATCCAGTACATACATATTTATTTGTATTGTTTGTAACAGAGTTGTTTGTTTTATGTTATATGTGTGTGGCATGAACAGAAGCAAAACAAAAACATTCATCCCTCATTCATTCTGCCATTCATTCTCACTCATTCACACATTTACACAGACTTTACTGAACAGTACCTATGTGTGGTTAAAATTTATAATATTTTATTTATTTATTGTAATTTATAATTTTCCTTAAAAAATGATTTTGATGTTGATTTTGTAATTTAATCTAAAAAATATTTTAAATCCGAGAAAAGTTACAACTATTTTATCAATAAAGCTTCTGTATATATCATCAAAATAAAAGCTAAACATGACAAACATTAATTGAGCTTTGATACAATCAAACATATGTTTGATTGTATGCCTTTGTTGACAATATGGACAAACATTTGTATTTGTTATATTCAGAAAATTTCAAATTTTCTTAACGAAAAGAAAATTCCCATTAGATAAAATGATGAAGATAGTATTTCTGAAATTGAATTTCCCAAACCTGGCAAAAATAAGGCAATAGGCAAATTAAATGATTAGGCAAAACTACCACTTATATAGTACATGTACACTGATATTACCAGAATTTAATTACTGCTCAATTGTCTGGGGAGAATGCTCCGATAAAATCTTTTTATCTAGACCAGAGCAATTTCAACAAAGATGGCACCACAAATAATACTGAGTGCTAATTCTGAAGCTCCAAGTGTCAAGAAGGATTGGAAGCCGTTTTTCAAACTCGATACTCAGTTGCCCGGCATAGACCAATTTGGTAACAAAATTACTCGTATTATGCAGACAAGATCTGCTGAGGAAGCTTTAATACTACCAAAATATTTGTCATGACCACCTTTCAATGGAATACTTGGTCCAAAGAGAACTTTATAGAAATATTTTTACTAAATTATGGCTGCAAATCCTCCTTGTTCAAGTGCTTTACTTTTTGAATCTTTAAAATGGACTCCAGTATAACATATAGACATTTAATAATACATGACAAAATATTTTCTTAGACTGACAAACTACATACATGTAGTTCTTAAAACGTCAAAAATAAGGTCCTAAGGTTGCATGTTGTGCTTTGATGTTCCCATTGGATGATTTGTATACTAGTATACTTTGTTCTGTTCCTGAGGTCAAGTGTGCACTCTCTTAAAAGTACATAAGAGTTTCCCAGAATTTTCAGAATTTGACATTTTCTGGAACAGCATTTTGATCAAACATCTACACACAATTCTATCTTGAGGAAATGTTTATTAGCTTCAGAGTTTTCTATACGGTCAATGATTAGTAGTGTTCACAAGATATTATAGTATTATGACCTTGGCCTTGAAGTCTCTAATAATGCAGTTCAAATATTTGTACATTGAATATAAATCCGAAACATGGTGAAAATAAAGATGAACTTAGTAGAAAATAGTCATTGTAAGTGCTCTTGGTTATCTTCACAATCATCTGATTGAAACATCCAAAATTTATCCTGAGATGAATGAAACCTTAAAACAATACCCAATTACACCTTTTATACACCACCATGTTAAAAGTAATCATGTTTTCATTTCTTCTATAGGAAAACTATGAGGATATACATTCTCACCAAAGTATTGGCTATTTTGTCATTGGCCATTGCTGACACATCTCTACCATATCCTTCCCATCATGTCATAGATGGTGATTTGTATATCATGGCAATGTTTGGTTTAACAGACATTGGCTGCAAAGACATAAGACTATCATATTCTTTACAATATATGGAAGCTGTTGAACTTGCTCTTGAACATATAAACATGCATCGAGGCCAGTTTGAAGACCTAGGTGTCAAAATTGGTGCAATTATTATGGATGACTGTTCATCAGCAGACCGCGGATATCAACGAACTAAAGAATTTTACAAAGGTGTCATGTTGGTCAATGATTCAACTGGTGCCCGCATTGAACCTGATCAGGTTGTTGGATTTGTTGGATCTGGAACCAGTGACAGAACTATGAAGGTTGCAGAATATTTAAAGACTACAAAGACAGCTTTAGTAACTCCAATAGCTACAAGCCCTCAGTTAAGTGACAGAGCTAGGTTCCCATATGTTGTCAGAACCTTACCATCAGACAGTAAGCAGGTAAGAATTTATTCGATATTTGGTCTAAGATATTCATTCAATGATATGCCAAACAGGTGCTCAACACATTTGGTAAGGAGAATGGTTGCATCGTTGCTTTCCACTGGGTCTAGAGCCCGGGGTGTTCACTGTATATAAACTTTGATGGGGATCCTCACACTTGTGCTATGGTATCGGTCTAGTAGTTACATATATCCTTAATTTGAGGTTGTTTTGGATTGTTTTCCTCATAGATCTGCCTTAATCTGAGGGCCTTCCTGAATTCGAATATTAGCATTTTTCTACTTTGGATATTTGGTATGGCATTGGTCCTATATTTAGACATTTGGTATGGCATTGGTCTAATATCTGGATATTTGGTATGGTATTGGTCCTATATTTAGACATTTGGTATGGCATTGGTCTAATATCTGGATATTTGGTATGGTATTGGTCCTATATTTGTGCATTTGGTATGGCTTTTGGGGTTATTTTGGGTTGGTATGGGAACACATTGAAATTTGACAGATTGCTATGGGAACATATTGATTTCTGAGGGTTTGTGGCGTCTCACAAAACTCTGCGGCAACTGCCAGGAGAAGCAATATTGAGAGTGAACTCAGCTTGGATTTATTTACAAAGTGGTCAGTTACATCGGGCAGACTTATCAAGATGAGTTTGGAACAATCAAAACCTTGTGAATCAAGATGCAATGGTTGCACATTAGAGAATTGCTCTGGCACATCACCAAGAAATATTACATAAATATTTAATTCTATTGAGACCTCTGCATCTTTCACAAGGAGTATTTTAATCTAAAAAATTGATTGTGCAAAATTCAAGATATATCTTGAAAAAATAGCACACTCTGATGCTTTACCAAAATATTTTCTAATCATTGGTGTGGACAATGAAGAAGAATGTAGATACATGTACGTGCCTTTTTATCTCAGTGATCCTGAAAAATCTCATTGATTCATGTATTTGTAGGGGCCTGCTTTTGCAGCATTTTTCATGAGTCTTGGCTGGCCCAATGTTCATGTTATCATTGAAGATGATTCATCATATGCCAAAGACTTAGCAAGTACATTCAAAGAAACATTTGAAAAGGAAGAACAAGGGAGATGCATAGCCTCTACACACATGCTAAATGTAAGTGAAATTTTTTGGATATGGAACAGGTAGTTCTGTATGTTCATACATTATAATGGCTTCATCATGGAGTCCCATATTATTTTAGGTACATACAACTCATTCTAAATAGTCATCAATTAACACAATTCTTGTAAGATACATCTTTAGAATGAATTGAAGCATATTTTAAACCCAAATATGTAGAAATATATCGATCATATCAAGTGTGGTTGGCGATCCAAAACGTATTTCAAAAAATCGAGACTTGTTTTTATGAATTTCATCTATGTTTTAAATGGAACAGAATTAATATTTTTCACAGAAAGATGGCAGCTGCATTCTGAAAGTTAATAATTGTTAGCCAAGTCCCGGGCCAAGTATGCCTTGTTTTTTTATTTCTTCAAATACATGTATTCTTGCAGGTCAAGGATCAGTATAATAGACTAGTACCTGGTGCGAGTAGATAAAAACTTGATTTACGTCATTGAATATTGCAATTATAATACTAGTAATTACAATTGAAATTATCAATATAGCGATATTTGCAATTTTGATACAGGGCAAGTCTCGGTTTGGAGAACAGTCTCCTGGGCTAATAATATTTTTATGAAAAATATAGAAATATCACCCAATTGAATTACGGATATTCAAAAGAGGAAAATATCAAAAACTGTCCGAAGCAGGCATAACATGCAGTATAGTAGACCGATTCAATAAAAGTCAAGTCTCAATTTGAAGAAAGAAGTTCATCAGTGTACTGCCCTAATGATTTTTTATGAAAAATATAGAAATATCAACCAAATTAAATTATGCATATTCAAAAGAGTACAATTAAATCTACAAAAGGACATTTATATCCAAAGCAGGCGTAATGTGCAGTAGACTGATGAACTTCATTCTCCAAACCGACAATAGTCTTTTGATATTATCGCTAATACTGATAATTTTGATAGTATTACTATTAGCGATAATAAGTATAGCCAAGTTATCAAAATTATCTGATAATTCTAAATTCACTTTGGCCATTTTCTTAGAAACTGAATAACTTCAGGCAAAACAGATTTTTCAGATTTAGACAAAATCATCAGACTCAAAGGCCATTAAAAATTGACAAGACAAACATGTAGATAAACCACAACAAGTAATCCTGCAGAATTTATACAGTATTATTTATTTTCAGAGCTCACAGGCGAGGTATCACAATGAACAAATAATTTCAGCCATCATAAACAGCTCCTCCAAGTCTGATATAGTTTTGTATTTGGCATTAAAAATCAGAGATTTACTAGAAGCCAAGGAAAAATATCTTGCAAATGAAAAAGCAAAACGTTAGTTTACTTATCATATTTAAGTCAATATAGTATATACCCACAATCAGACTGCCCTTCCAACCATTTTACACCACTCTATCATTATTACACAACTTAGACAACCATACTATATCTAACTTATGTAATTGAATATCCATTATTAAGAATGAATCAAAAATGTGCACATGATTTTAGTCCCTTCATAAATGTTGATATATGTATATGTTTATAACTTGTAGGCCTTGTGTTTATTGGGACAGAGGGATGGGGAAGAACTGAAAATTTGGTTAAAGGTCATGAAAAAGCAGCCAACGGCTCAATAACAATAGGCCTCTATGGAGAACCTGTCAAACTTTTTGATGCACAAATGTCAAAACTCAGGTGAGAACTCAATTTTAGGTTTATTAATTTAAAGTTTGAACTTCGGGACAGAGTAACAGAAGTGCAGCAAAAACCAGAAAAAAGTGAAATGGTTGATACCTTTAGTCCCACATGGAGAACCTGTCACAGGTATCTGATATACTTTGTCAAAGGCTTGGGCAAGATCACATTCATAGACAATTCAATATTAAACACAAATCATTAAGAATAAAAATCACAATCTGGTGAACAGCCAATTCAACATTCTATGCTCATCTGTTTCAATAATGGTCTACTTTTTCTGCAGATTTGGCCAAAATTCTTCCCGCAGTGTTCACACGGACTTATACTTCAAAGCTTTGTTCAATTGTGATACCAATTGTTCTGCAAACATGATTATAACAGAGGCTCCAACTTATAGCCAAGACACATTCATACTGCAATTAATTAATGCTGTCTTTGCGCTTGGCAAAGCTACAACTGAAAGACTCAAAGAGAAATGTGGCAGAGAGGCCGAGGCTGTATGTGATGAATTTGGTACAGCATTTGGAGAGGAATTTACGGAAGCTTTGGATAACATGTGCTTCAAGGGCATTGATGGTATAATAATGTACATTTACCATTTCTGTCAATAAGATTCTCTAAATATTACAGGCCTGTAGCCTTAGCCCCCCCCCCCAGGTATCTCCTAAAATAATGTGGACCTACCTTTTTTGCTTTCTTGAAGAATTTTCTGACATTTCGAGGTAGAAGGTAACATTTGGTGACATATGTAGTATCATGTACGGTGTATTTTGATGTGATTGCCACTTTCTTTTTATAAAATTCTAAATTGACTAGAACAGCGAGGCAACTAAATGATTCAGAAATTAATCATATATTTTGATACTTTAATCGCTCAGAAGGTGCCAAATAAGCCTAAATATTCAATTTTTATATAAATACATAAATCACATATTTTGATCCTCGAATTGCCCCGAGTGACAAAATCAGCCCAAAAATCTTAACTTTTTCAGGGAAGCATGCCCCTGATTCTTTAATAAATCATATATTTTGATCCTAGAATCGCTCAGAATGCACTAAATCAGCCCAAAATCAGCCCTCTGGCTACATCAGTCACAAGCTATTATTTTACAGGCCATGATAATTTGGCTCAAATTTTGTTCCGTCTAAATCAGCTAACTAGTCATTTTAACACCATGAGGGAATAACTGGGCATTTTTCAAAATTTTGGCCCTTATTTTCTTCTGTGCAAGCGTGGACATTTTTGGGTCCCCCTCCCTTGTTTTCGTGGCCACCCCTGGTGTCTTGTTAACAACACTTGTGGTCACAATGCGAAGTTGGTTAAGCATGAAAACATTTTTGTGTGTTGATGGGGGGGGGGGGGGGGGTTCGAGCCCCCTCCCCTAACCAAAACCTGGCTACGGGCATGTATTGGGAACAGTAAAATGAATGAACAAGATGTCACTACCTGCATATGGTAACAAAAGTGTAACAGTTTGTGACAGATCCCAATCACTGACCACCAAAACCAAACTCAGAACATCAGTCACTAATATATGTAACATTATTTTCTCTACCACTAAAACAGTAAGACAATAAAAAATTTCTTATGCATTAAAATGAAGCAACAATTATTTTAAAGTACAACAATAAATGTTTTCAAAGTTGTACATTGTAGGCCAAGATGTTGCGATTCGTGACCGAGAGAGTTACAGGGCTTATGATTTCTTCTACTGGGAGGATGGAACTCCAATCAAGGTAACATCAATGTGCTGAAAAGCAATCAGTGCTGTTATTAAAAAAAACATGTTGCATGTTATGGTACATAATATACAATAGGTGTATTCTCTGCTTTTCTGAATTTTTCTCAAAATTTCATTCAAATCAATCACATTTCAGATTGGTAGATCAGGCACTGAGGGTAGGACTTATACACCAGATTCAAATCATTCAAGTTTTCCAGAAGGCGGCTACTACGACAACTTGCCACGATCTGAATGTCCCAAAAGTAAGATGTAGTGATGTGTATTTTCACTAAAATTTTCAAGGATTATACATGGGGCAGGGACATAAACCAATTTCATAAGAGATTAATTTGTATTTGAGATGTTAGCAAAATTGTTAATGGTAGTTCTTGCAACCCTAACACGTGTTAATTGTGCGAGAAAATATTGACAAGTAAACATAATTTTGATGATAGGCTAAAGCTTCATCGACCATGGACTTACAGAAATGCACTGGAAACTTTGAAAATACTTGTCATGCCCTATTAATTGATTGAACGATACTTTTTCTGGCTTAAAGGAATTCTAGGTGATAAAAATAACAAAACATTGCTTCTGGGACAAGTATACATACCATGTTTCTGACAAATCGAAAAAATTTGATCGATAAAATCATGGATTTATAAAACCGGAAGAGCTTTCTCTGACATCAGTGTGGAATATTTTAATAATTTCAAATTTTGCCGTGGATTCGATTTTAAATACTTCTTAATGATCTTCAAATGCTTATTATTACTATGGTTTCTATTTGTAATATTTTGACTTCCCCGCTTCATAAAAACAAAATTATCACCATTTAGTGAACTCGAAAATTCACTTCCGGTCTATCGTAATACAGATGAGCTGAAAGATGTCGTGAACACCTTTCATTCCTCAGTCTAAATATGGCTTTTCAAGGTTCAATAGATGACTTTGAATGGACTTGCATGCATAGTTTGAAAATAGAATCATCAAAGGTTTTAAACCATGAAATCGACTCTAAAGCCTGAAAAAAATATTTTGAACCATTTTGTCGGCTGTATGTTACAATGTGCCTAGCCTTTAAAAATTCTAAAGTATATAATTTATCTTTGCACAAATAATATCCTTTGAAAGATTATTGTGCATATTAAAATGTGCATTAGGTTTTCCATGGAGGTTCATAATTGTTGGTATACATCCATGGTTTTGCTTATTGTAGGACATGGAAAATATATAAAATCACAAATGTGAAGTTTATCAAAAGTCAAAATATTTAAACTTTTTTGTACATAATATATACATGTATGCCAGAGTTAATATGCAAGGAAAAATAAGCAAACATAAAAGGCATATTTTAAGAGACTGATAAGCTTTCAAATGACACCATTTGAGGATATGTCAGGTTTTTTAAGTAATGCTGTTTCTGAGGCTGAGACCATTGACTATCAGTAGTCAGTCCATTTCTGTTAGTCTGTGCATCAATAGATCATTAGTATAATGAATGAACACCACAATTAGTCCGCATTCAAGGCAGTCAAATTTATAATTCTATAAAATAAATGCTATATACATGAATAGATGTCTCTGCATACAGTTTCTCCGGGCTTTGGTGGGCCTGGTGGGTCATTTAGTATAGTAAGTTGATGGAACAAGTTGACGGAACAAGTTGACATGGGCAGCTTGAAGTTCATTTCATTTTCACTGCAGAAAAACAGCGCATTTATACACTGCTTAATTTTGAGTGATTCGGCCACTAACTATGGAGCTCTTCATGGTGGAAGAGATAAAACCATGACAAGAAAAAATTCAATGTACCGATTTAAATTATGTTTCTCTGGTGGGTACATAAGACATTGTGCTTTGAAGTAAGGGTGATGATTGAGCATAACTTCGATCTGTTTTTTCTTGAGGACATCTGAAGTTAACATCACAGCCTATGGCAAAATAATTGTGGTGTGCATTCAATCTACTAAACTAATGGAAGGCAATATAATATACATGTACTACTACTCCATCTTAGATTTGGGTTTTTCAGAATGGAGTGGCTATTTCTGTAAAAGATGTAGATTGGGTAGAAATAAGAATAAGCTAGATCCAAAGTGTTGGGACTGTTCACAGACAAGGAGGGATGGATACACAATATGTGATGCATGTGTCCCATTTGAGGAGGAATTCAAATGCTTTAACTGTGTGAAGAAATGAATACCAATGGATTTTACTGTATGATATAGGATGCAAAATAGCATATAATAAAAATTGAATGCATTAGATTTACAAGCATTTTCTTCACATCTGGATACAGGGTTTATCCCAAGGGAAATATGTGTATCTCCCAAGGGACCGCGGGATAAACCCTGTATCCAAAACCGACCATACATAACAGATGTATTTCATACCTACTGAGGTTCTAGGTACATCATACGTTACAAAGATCCAAAATTCCAAAACATACTTAAGGTACTAGGCGGTTTTTTGGTCTTAAAGTTTGCGAGATTTTCCAAAAATTTGTAAAAAAAGAAAATATGAAAAATAATTTTGAAAAAAAACGAAAAAAATTTGAAAAAATGTGAAAAAAAATTTGACAAAAATAGAAAAAAATTTGGAAAAAAATGTGAAAAAAAAATGTGGAAAAAATTTTGAAAAAATTTTTGAAAAAATTAAGCGTGTATTCATCCCGGTCCCTAGATACACTATATATGGATCTCTAATCTGATGTTCCTGTACAGATGTACTACATTTGAAGTAAAGTAGGGCAAGCATTGCTAGGAACATGTTCAATTCAAACCTTTTTCATGAATGCATTTATTCAAATTATTGACAATAATTTCATTTATGGCAATGTGAGAGTCGGTTAAGGTTTAGGTATGAACAAGCCCTGAGAAGACCATTCCCCGGTTATCCCAGGTAAATGTTTCTGGTAAGTTACACTGAACGAAACATCAAGCTTCAGATCTCGAGAGTACGAGATGAGACTTCAGACGAGATATCGATAGGATTGAAGTTGGAGGGTCTTCTCCCTAGGTCCTTAAAAAATCCTTAAACATCAATGTAAGTTATACATTTCGATTCTTTTTATCGACATTTATCTCTTGTATATACATTTATCTATCGCTGAATCGTTTTGTGAAAATTTTATCGTAATATTTCACACAAAAAATGTCAGTTTAAAAATGTTCAAAAAAAAAAAAATTTTCAAACACGTTTCATCTTTTGTCTTTTATGCCTTTGTAGTTGTTTTTATGTTTGAAATATTCAATTGATATCTTGAACATATAATTTTAAAACTTGAATTTATACAAAATGATTAATTTATTGATGAAGATGGACACGTCACGTACATGTCCTCAAACTACGTTCTATTACCCGCATAATGTGGGGTCGAATTGGCGTTTTTTCTTATCATTCTTGTGCCAATTTCGATAGACTCCATCCAATCTAACGATAGATATTTCATTTATTTACGAGTGTAAGTTACCTTGTAGGCTTTTAAATAAATATACCTATTCTATTTATTATCCCATTCCAGAGATTTCTGGTTGATATCGGGATTATTCATAGTACCATAAAGGTACAGATATCATTTTATTACTTGATATGTATTTATCTCTTGAGAGAGCTATAATATTATTCCTTTTCTTTCTATATTTCAGACACCTTATTGCACATAATAGACTTTACTCTGAGGATAAGACAGGAGTCAAAAATATCCTTTCCTTTTCTTCTCCCATTATACAAGAAATTAGATATGCCTAAGAATATTAGGGTCAACATTATAGGCCACAGTTTTGTCCGGAAAATAGAGGAAACTAACCAATTTGACTTTAAATTAAAGGAAGACATAGTTAATCATAATACCTCCATTGTATATACAATTAAACAATTCCAAGATGGTGTTAAATATGAAAATCCCTATCCAGATATGGCTATATTACAGCTAGGAGAAAATGATCTGGTTCACAGACCATCTACCTTTGTTGCAGAAAATCTCATCACCTTGGCTGAACAATATTTAGACATACATCCTTCATTGAAAGCCTTTTATATTGGAGAACTATTTCAGCGTTCATGGCATCCTTTCAAATCCTCGATCAATACTGCTTCAGACTGCATTCAGTATAATTCAAAAATCTTATCTACCAATTTCAAATTGTTAAATGATATTCACCATCATAAGGACAATAGACTTTTCTTCCTCCATCACCCACATACCACCCAATATAAAAATCAATGGTCGAATTTAATAGATGACACCCACGATCCCATACATCTCAATGCAAAAGGGGAAAAGCGTTTGGTCAAGTCCTGGAAAGGCGCAGTCCTGAGATTTCTTGATTACATTTATTAGGTAAGAATAAGTAGACTTAACATTAGAAGAGACGGCTACTCTTCTCTAACCGAACATAAGCCAGAGAGTCGTTAACCATTCACAATAGTTTATTCACTTATTTATCCTTCATAAGTACTATACTTACTTTAGGAAATTTAGTTTCCTCCTTACTTATATATTATCATATTTATATTATGATAATATCTATTATTTTATATATCATCTGCATTTATTCATGCAGTGTATACTATACCTTTAGACTTAGATGTTATCATATTTATATTATGATAAAAATTCATATTATTTATATATCATATGCATTTATTCATGCATTGTATACTTTACCTTTATTCTTAGAGGTTATCATATTTATATTATGATATTCCATATTTTTTTATACATCATATGCATTTATTTATGCAGTGTATTCTAAATCATATTTATTATGATTAGCCTTATGGGCATTTATTATGATTAGCCTTAGGCTATGGGCAGCATATTTATATACATCTTAGCAAAGGAGCATGTGCTTCTATTTATATTTATCTAAAATGTTATTATGTCTTGAAGTTGCTTACCCTCTATATAAATACTACTCATTTCATTCCAGATGTCTGAAACTGAAGGATCTGATCCTAGCCCAAGTATTACTATAGAAGAGTATCACACTTCTAATACCCTGACTGCAGCCAAGTCTATGCCCACTTTAATAAGAGGCAACTTTACAACAACTTGTCCCGGTATACCTTCCTATTCCACGACATCTTCCATTCCATCCCAACCCAACATGTCATTCTCTCTAAATAGACCCACATCATCTATTACTCGCCCTATTCCATCTTTTGCATCAAGCGGTAATATCCAACCCTACCCTTTTATCCCTCCCACCCCTTTTATCCCTCCCACCCCTTCTAACCTTTCAGCTTTTCCTAATTTCCAACCCGTCTCTACAGCTTATGGCTTAATTCCCAACCCAAATGCCATGCTACAAGGACAGGTGTCCGTAGCCTCTATGAATCCCATTCCCAATCAAATGCCCTTTCCAAATCAAGGACAAACACAAGGTGGTTTTACACTCCCTCCTACTACTCAACCTAGTTTTGCTTCAACTTTTCCACAAAACTTCAATCCTACCGATTATCAACTCTCTCTATCCATGCAGTCTGCTCCCCTTCATAACCTCATTCCCCAAAAGCTTAAAGATAAAATTTGGGCTGACGAATATATTGCCCTTTCATCCCTTGTCAAAGGCCCTGAAGAAGACAAAAACAATGATTATGTCCTCTGTGAAATGAAATCTGATGGTTCTTTTGAATCAAAACATTTGAATTTAAACCCTTCAAAGAAAGGAAAAATCCTTTCATTTCCAGAATGGATCCGAGCATTCAGTATATTTATTGCTGTCTATACCCAAAGATTTCCTGATCAAACCCCACACCTCTTGAAATATATGGTTTCTGTTACGGAACTTTTTCAAAGACATCAAGGTTGGAGGGTGTATGACAAAAAATTTAGAGATGAAAGGGCAAAGACAAAATTTCCGTGGGGAATGCTACATTTTGAATACTGGTTAAAAGCCAAAGAACTTAATGCAAATGCTTCAACTCTTTGGATCTCTAAACATGAGCAAAACATGTTTGGTTTTACTGACAACAAGATGTATTATCCCCCCAAAAATTCACAAAAAACCACCCAGTCCAAATCTGAGATTCCATTAGGGTATTGTTTTCCCTTCCATCAAGGACTCACTTGTGACAAATCCCCTTGTCCCTTTAACCACACCTGCCCAACCTGCAATCGTTCCAAACACTCCATGTCAAAATGTTACTCCCGCAACAACAACAGGCAAGCCCAATTCCCCAACAAAAAGCGTTCAAGTACTGGAGACTCCAAAAAACCCTTCGAGTGAACTTATGTCAACACAAGTTGTTACTCCAGTTAAACCTGAAAGACTCAGATATTGGCTCGAAGGTTATGAACATCAAGAAGAAATAGTTCAAGGTTTCACGTACGGATTTAAATTTCCTCACTCTGATATGCCAGAACATTACAACATTACTCATGATAATTTGTCATCCGTATCTAAGAACCCAGAAGCTCTCGATAAAAAATTAAACAAAGAGCTTAAAGCTGGTAGAATACTGGGACCTTTTGACCAGCCACCATTTGATAACTATGTTATTTCACCCTTATTTCTCGTTCCTAAAAAATCTCCAGGCGAATTCCGTGTTATTCACAACTTATCACATCCCAGAGGCCAATCCATAAATGATACTATCCCAGATGAAACTTCTACAGTTAAATATGCAACTGTACAGCAAGCCATAGATATTATAAAACATTTAGGAAAAGGTTGCTTCTTGTGTAAGACCGATATCGAAGCTGCCTTCCGTATCATACCTATGCATCAATCCACCCATAATCTTCTGGGCATGAAATGGAATAACAAATTTTATTTCGACAGATGTCTGCCAATGGGACTTTCTTCATCATGTGCAATTTTTGAACTTTTCAGTACTTCACTGGAGTGGATCGCTAAGAATAAACTGAACATCCCCTACATGATACATATCCTTGACGATTTTCTAATTCTGTCAGCAAATGAAGAACAATGTTCTGGCGATTTAAACAAATTCTTGAGTATGTGTGCAGATATGGGAGTGCCTTTGTCTCCAGAGAAAACTTTTCTACCTAACACTACTTTAACTTTCGCTGGAATAGAGTTAGACACTTTATTATTAGAAGCTCGTTTGCCTGTGGAAAAAATAGTCAAAGGCAAAACAATCATTGACACTTTATGTAACATTAACCCCATTACCAATAAGCCAAAACCAAAGAAAGTCTCAAAAAGAGAACTTTTATCTGCTATAGGATTCCTTAGCTACTGTTGTTGTGTGATTCCTTTAGGTAGATCATTTATTTCAAGACTTATTCATCTATCTAAAAAAGTGAAGGAGCTACACTATAAAATCTTAATCAACACTCCAGCTATGCAGGATTTATTAATGTGGAAAGAGTTCCTAATACACTTTAATGGGAAATCTATTTTCCTTACAGAAGAACAAGAGACAAGAGAACAATTGCATCTATTTACCGATGCTTCTACTACGATAGGTTATGGAGCCGTTTGCAATAATCTTTGGTTTAAAGGGGAATGGCCAGCAGAATGGAAAGAATTGGACATCAATATTCTTGAATTATATCCCATTGTTACTGCTATACTTACATGGGCTAATTTTATGTCTGGACACACAGTTATCCTACATTCTGACAATGAAGCAGTAGTGAACATTCTAAATAAATTTTCCACCAGCAATCAAACGTCCATGCAACTCTTACGTCCCATGATATTAAAATGTCTCTTAAACAATATCATGTTCAAAAGCGAACACATTGCTGGTATTCATAATTCTGCAGCTGACGCTTTATCTAGAAACAATTTATCTTACTTTCAGAAGCTTATTCCGACAGCATCTAAAGATCCGTCATGTGTACCAGATCAGTATTTACCTCACAATTGGACACTATCGTTTTAGAAGCACTTCAAGCTGCCCAAGCCCCGTCTACCAGAAAGTCATATGAAAGAGCATGGGATTTATTAGTACAGTTCAACTCCCAGACAGGTATAGGTGAATTTCCTCTAACCCCAGCCTCTGCTAGCCTTTTCGCAGCACATCTTCGTTTAAAAAAGTATGCCCCTAATTCAATCAAGTCAATTCTGTCAGGTATATCATATTTTCACAAAATTAACAATTTCAAGGATCCCACTACTTCTTATGTAGTCTCTCAAATAGTTTCCGGTTTTTGTAAACAAAATCCTACCATAGACACTAGATTGCCAATCAACATAGCCTTGTTAGAAAAAATGATTTCTAAAACTTCTGAAGTAGAGTTTGACCCTTTTGCTCAAGTCTTGTACAGAGCTATGTTATCTACAGCCTTTTTTGGCTTACTAAGAAGTAGTGAGATGACAAGTACTTCCGCTGGACACAACTTACAGTTAGAAAGTATTAAATTCTCTCCTGATGAAGCCTTTTTCACCATTACCTTTCCGCATTTTAAACATAGCTCATCTCCTGCTACGATATCAATTAATTCTCAATTACCTTCTTGTTGTCCAGTATTACATATGAAGTTGTACCTGAACATAAGATCTTTTAAACCAGGTCCTCTGTTCATTTATAGAGATGCTCCAGTGAAGACTTCTGTTTTTAACAATTTTCTTCACAAACTCTTTGTTCAATGTCAGGTAGATCCTACCTTCTACAAATGCCACAGTTTGCGGATAGGCGGGACTACATGGGCAGCAAATCTCGGACTTGATGACTATACTATCAAAAAGATTGGGAGATGGAAATCTTTAGCCTTTAGAAAATATATTAGGTAGACATTTAAAAACTCAGACAGGTGTCGAGTATGCATTTTCATGTAAGCCCCAAAGTTGCTCAGACAGGTGTCGAGTATGCATTTTCATGTAAGCCCCAAAGTTGCTCAGACAGGTGTCGAGTATTCAATTTTCATGTAAGCCCCAAAGTTGCTCAGACAGGTGTCGAGTATTCAATTTTCATGTAAGCCCAAAGTTGCTCAGACAGGTGTCGAGCATACAAATTTCAAGTAGCTAATTTTTTCTCTTCAGGAAGATGTACTAGAAACTTAATTGAGATAAACCCGCATTTTCTGAATTCAAAATTTTCATACAATTCTAATTCCTTTATCTTACCTGAGAATGACAGTTTATTACACTACATTACATTAATTTGCCCTTATTTCAGAATTTGCGGATTTACTTTAATTCATTTCTATGATGTTCTTATATTTTGGTATTCATGTATTGATTTATGTGTATCAATAAATGATTTAACTACTTTGTAATTAATCTTCTTTTCTTTTGGGCTCTCGCGAGAGGTCGCGCATGGCCTTATTTTCGCCCAAGAAGATGAGTTGGAGATGGTATTATAATATATCCAATTGAGCTAATTAACAGTTATGTCAAATTCTAAACTCTTTTAGCTAATTAACTTAAATTAGCCATTAATTTCTTAGGTATTGTGTTTTGTGTTAATTGGCTCAATATTTATTTATATTAATTTTATATTAATAATTTTACATGTACGACTCTCACAGCCATATTTATACTCTACATGAACATAAATTCAAATTATTGACAATAATTTCATTTATGGCAATGTGAGAGTCGGTTAAGGTTTAGGTATGAACAAGCCCTGAGAAGACCATTCCCCGGTTATCCCAGGTAAATGTTTCTGGTAAGTTACACTGAACGAAACATCAAGCTTCAGATCTCGAGAGTACGAGATGAGACTTCAGACGAGATATCGATAGGATTGAAGTTGGAGGGTCTTCTCCCTAGGTCCTTAAAAAATCCTTAAACATCAATGTAAGTTATACATTTCGATTCTTTTCCCTCACCTCCTTCCCCAGCTTACACCACCAGTTGGAGCCTTATTTTCGCCCAAGAAGATGAGTTGGAGATGGTATTATAATATATCCAATTGAGCTAATTAACAGTTATGTCAAATTCTAAACTCTTTTAGCTAATTAACTTAAATTAGCCATTAATTTCTTAGGTATTGTGTTTTGTGTTAATTGGCTCAATATTTATTTATATTAATTTTATATTAATAATTTTACATGTACGACTCTCACAGCCATATTTATACTCTACATGAACATAAAAATATATTATGTATGGCAATGTTAAAATCCACAATTTAAAGATGTTTACCAAGCTTAGTGAGAAAGGGGAAACATGTTTTCACACATCTAACAAATACATATAATCTGTAGCTATCTACATATTGGAATAAATCAGGTACTATTCATTTATATGTCGCTCATGCCATTACTATTGGTGTGATTGACAACCTGGAAAGACAGGTAAACTAATAATGGGTCCAGGATACTGGACATGTAAGTCATGGCAGTGATGCCATATATGCAATGTTGATGTGTGACAGTCAGTCGGCTATGAGCTCAAGTGGTAGAGCACCTGACACGTAATCGGGAAGTTGTGGGTTCGATTCCCACAAGGGTGGAGTAACTTTTTCACATCAGCCCTTAGCATAGGATTTGATCCTATGTTTTCAGATTAACTATTGGTACACAAACAACTGCTTTTAAATGATGACCCAGACAAATCATGAACCTTCAATCAACAACTTTTTGAAATGGTACAGATATTCATTGATTGCACCCAACATTTTATGTCACCTTTGCATAATATACATGTTTAAATAACCATTGCATTTAGACCCCTTGAGAGTTAAAGTTGTTATCAAACTATTAATCATTTTAAAATATTCTATTTGGTGAAGATAAAATTCCAAAAAGAGCAATCCTAATATTCTATGACAGCTACTTACCTAATTTATATATGAGCACAAATCCCATCATCCAGCGTGTCCCTGGAGAATCCCAGATGTCTTGAAGGAACTTGAATTTATTCCTCCAGTCTTTCATTTCACTTGGTTGCACATAACTATGTGTCAGCCTACTTATATCTATAGTTTCCTCATCCTCGGAGGACTCTGTCCGTGTTAGATCTCGTAAATGTTTCGAATCAGCAGCTGGTTTAGTCAGTAGTTTTCTTTGATAAAACACATTATCACTTTCAGCGTTATCAGTTGTACTTTGATGCTCTTGATTCTGTATGTCATTGTTCAGTAAAGGGGATGCCGTATTCTCACTATCTGCATCACTAAGTAATGGTGTTGCTGCGTTGCTCGTTCCACTTTCGGCACTTTCTGCCGTCAACAGTTGCAGAGCTTCTAGATGGCGTAATTTAGGCAAGAAGTAAGTGAAAAACACAGCTTCTAAGTAAATCACGGCTAATATGAGAAACATTCCACCCCATCCTAAATAATCAGCAAGAATTACGAGGATTCCTCCACCACAAATAGACCCTAGTTTATAACCAACGACTTGGATAGTGTTTCCTAGACCTAGTTCATGATCACATAGGATTTCTAACGCAATACTATCAACTGCAATGTCTTGTATGGATACAAACAGATTCAGTAAAACAATCACGACGCATAGCATGATGATATATTTAGGTGTCACGATTGTACCTATAGCACACGTAAGCACAAGGCAACTCATACTGTAGATTAACCACTTCCGTTTTGTGCTATATTTATCAACTAATGGTGCCCAGAGAGCCTTACACAACCAAGGTAATGAAAGCAGTTTGTAGAATGTGATGTCACTGAGTGAAATCCCTTGTTGACGGAGGTATACAGGCATGAATCCAGTTTGAAAGCCATAAGGGAGCCCCTGTACAAAGTAGAGAAAACCCAACAGAACCATATTAGATGATATTCCAAGCTTCATCTTGCAATATGGTATTTTCCACTGCAACTTCTCTGGAAAAACAAATATAACACACTGTGTGAACATACAGCATTGATAATAACGTCTTCATATAACAGACGTGTATTATACATGTAAGTATATTACATGTACAATCCAAATCAAGGCAGATTGATTCACAGGGGCTTGTATGAAAGATGACACTAGTCACACATGATATGAATACCTGTACGTAATAGTGTTAAACTGAAATGAGAGTCACAAGAAATGCATACCAAATATTTAATTCTATTGAGGTGAATACTCCGTTACTCCGAAAAATATAATGATAATTTACCAGAGAAAGGGGGGACGTTCTTAACCTTAGGCCAGTTTCATGCCATGTATTTGGCCAAATTAATGGCATGAACGCATTCTGATGTTCATGCATCCATTGCATGGCGTTACCAGAATGGCAGGGGGGGGGGATTTATTTTACATTGTGATTCTAGATAAGGTTATTCAAACAGAATATATATTACTGAACAGTTTATCTTATCTTCTCCAATCTCTTTTATATAGGCAATATAAAATGACACCTATTTTGAATCAGATAAAATAAGTTAACGCATCGAACTTTAAGAATAAAACAGTATACATATTACGTTGTCAAAATATTTCGTCCCTGATTTAATTTCTTATGGTCTCTGTCTCTTATCAAATCGTAAAAGAACAAAACATTCTAAACTATGGATTTATTTTTCGGCATTCGTTTCCGGCATTTGTTTTTTATGTTCTTCTCCTGAAATGTATTTGCTTGAAAATAATCAGAGAAAGTGCGTATACGTATAAATTTGCGTGGCATATTCTGTCACGCAAACAAACGGGAAACGGGTGTGACTTCAATTTCTTGTCTGTCTGAGGACGTAGGCTTATTGGGAACGAGGTAGAATTAAAGAATTCTTATGAACGGTCATGCAAGATACTAGAACTAGTAAAATAATTTATTGGATAAGTTAATTTCTGATGGATCTAGATAAAATATGTCTCAAAACTTTGTGAACACTAGATAACTACATTTAGGCAGATATAGTATCTTGATATATTTGGCTATCATGCGTTTAAAATACGTTCCTAAAACTATGAAGACGTTAGGTGAGAAATATATTGCTATTGTACGTTCGAAAAGTATTTGGTTGTATTTTGTAGTTCTCAAGTTACCCATGAACTTTCGTAGGCTACATATTAAACAATTAACGTAATAGACTTAGCATATTTAGCCTAATTTTTGAATGATGTCAACGTGATTCCAATGTTATGTTGTCGTGATTTGCAGAGATCGGACAAGATTCGTTTTAAGAAATTGTATTTCTTTTAGATAAGATTCCCTAGTTTTCGGACAACTGGGTTTCGGACAACTGGGTTTCGGAAAACTGGGTTTCGGAGAATTGGGTTTCGGACAACTGGGTTGACCCCATATTTGATATCATTTGATATTCACTCAACAGAAGTCATGTGATGCTTGTTATTTTTAGTCACATATAGGACATAGACCAAATAAAATGGAATATTTGATATTTTTCTGCCATTTCTAAAGCGGCAGCCATCTTTTTTTTGCCTAAAACTATTTACCAATAAATCTCTCTTCACCAAATATAAAGAAAATCTGTCTATTAGTATTCGCATTATCTTCTGGACAGAAGGACGGACCGACGGATGGCCTCACTATATCCCTATAGAATTTTGTTTGTTTGGATAATAAACCCCTCTTGATAAATCCTGGCTATGGCCTACACACATGCAAATTACTTCAGGCCCCGTGCGAGCTCATATGAGCCTCGAGAATTACGAGTCATTACGGGCAAAATGGAGCACGATCTTTGTACGAACTCGTACAGAGCTCATTTTCAAGGCCTGCACTAGCTCATACGATGCTCGTCATTGTTCTTTTGAAGGCCCGTACAAGCATGTACGAGGCTCGTAATTTCAAGGCCTATATGAGCTCATACGAGGCCCATTATCGGTCTCTTTTACAGTGCAAAAATTATTATTTTATGTCATGCTTAATCATTCACGTATCTTTCATATCTGTTCCAAAAGAGCTCATTTAAAATAAACGAGCAATTACGAGCCTCGTTACGAGCCCCATACGGGCAAGTACAATGCTCGAAAATCATGAGCCAAAAACTACGATTTATTACAGGGATCGTTACGAGCACCGTACGGTCAAGTACGGGGGTCGAAAATTACAAGCTATTACGGACCTTGTAATCACAAGCTCTTACGAGGCTTGAAAATTACAAGCAATTACGAGACTCGTAATGAGGCCCGTACGAGGTTACATAGGGCCTGTTGACTTGAGCTCCGTATGGACTTGTTCTGGGTCTGATGTAATTTGCCTGTGTAGTTCAACAACATTAGACCTAGCCTGGGGCCTTGTTTCTTAACTGACATGTCTTATGGCCCCGGCCAAAGAAAGTCGTTATTGAGTTTAACATTGTTTAACCAGCTATGGCCATGCTAATTCAATTATTTTCATCAATATTTATGTCCGCAAATCTAAATTTATCAACTGCTATGCTTATTGAGTCAAGGCTTGCTCTATTGACTTCTTTTTCCTACTAGACGAATTCCTGTGCTGCTATGTACCGGTACTCTGCACAGTCGGAGAATATACTCCCGGTAACATACATATACAGTTCAAAACGAGGCTGTACCTGGAGGCTGCAAGAGAGGGACATATTTTCCATCAATTCCTTCACATTGTGAATCACAAATACATGTTTCACTCAGCCAATATTCCACTTTGGACAGACTGACAATAAATTGAGTTCAAACAGTGGATAAAAAATATGAAAGTAAGCATACCTACCTAGAGACTAATGTGTCAATAATATATCGTTTAGATACACTTATTTTGCACTTTTTATAAAGGAAATATTGGAGTAGCAATGGACAACGAATAGATGGCGCGTTTTCGCGGGAAATTTTATTCACTAAAAAATTGACCCCGCTTTTATATGCAATTTTGGTCGCTCATTTTAACTATGTTAAAAGTCGAATTGCTGTTATTTCTTTATAAAATCTGTTTAATAATTGAATGAAGTCTTCGCGCATTCTTAAGAATAGAAGAAAATCGTTTTTGGCGAGGACGAACTTCACGAGGTAAAGTTTAAATCATTTAATTATACCCTCAATAATTTTTGGTCGCTGTGATTAAGCAGTTATTTGTAGAGTTTAAAGTCTTGAGATCGTAAAAAATTAAAACTTACACTGATATATATATGCGCAAATGTAGAAATTCAACTTCTAAAGTGGCTGGTGTAATCTTCCGATTCTCATGCAAGATGGCGGCCATATTTATCTTCCGGGGTCGCGTGTCTTGCGCAAAAATAAAATCGTTAATTTTGGTTAATCTGTGTTCAATTATGGTTGTTACTTCAAATAAATGTATATTTATGAAATCAAATATGCTATTGAAAACTTCTTCATACGATGTCCGTTGAATTTGGACTTATTAGACACAGATTAAAAGATTGTTATTGTCACGTGATTAGTTTGTTGTTGTTCTGGCGATCAAGCACGTGGATCGATGTGGATAGGTATGATTATTTGACAATTACCAATGCATAATTCAGTAATTACAGGTGGCCCAATCTATTATCATCGGATAATCACTTTGACTACTTGCAGTCTCACCTCCCTTGATGCCCCATACTGTAAAAGTTTATCATTGATGACCCATACTAATGATCACTTGACGTCCCATACTATTGATCATTTGATACATGTATACCATACTATTGACCACTTGATGTCCCACACTATTGATCACTTGATGTCCCACACTGTTGATTCCTTTGATATACTATTGATCACTTGACGTCCGATACTGTTGATCAGTTGATGTCCCATACTATTGATCATTTGATGTCCCATACTATTTAACACTTACTACCCCATACCATTGATCACTTGATTTCCCACACTGTTAATTATTTTATTCCCTAATACTTATTAATTACTATTGATTATTGATTGTCCAAGACTGCTGATTACTTGATATCCAGTACTGTTGATCACTTGATGTTCCATACTGTTGATCACTTGATGTCCCATACCATTGATCACTTGATGCCCCATACTATTGGTTAGTTGATGTCCCATACCACTAATCACTTGATGTCTCATACCATTGATTTCTAAATGCAGCATGCTTGTTTTAACGACTTGGAAAGTTTTATTTTGGTCTCTCTAGACTTTTGAAAACTATAATACATGTACATATGAACATATGTATAATATATATTATGGTAAACAATTTAGTGATATACATGTAGTGTCAGCTTATAGATACACTATTTGTATACATGGAAAGAATATTACTCAAGTGATAAAAAAATATTTGTACTATGTTCTCCATTGATCCAAATTAAAGAGACATAGGAAATTGTACATTGCAAATGTTTATTTTTTAAAAAAATACAAAAAACGCCCATGGGTGATACTCTGTGACTGTAATTTACGAAAATATGAACTTATATTAGACCTTCATTTTTTTTGTTTGGTTAAATAAAAGTTAGAGTTACAAGAAAATATAAGGTATGATAAGATAAACCTTATTGTTAATTTTTAATTAAATTTCAAAGTTGGGGTCAGTTTTTAGCAAAAACGATTTTTGGACCCCCTGAGGGTGACCTACTTTAAATGGGTGCCACGGCCAGTATGCATTTTCTAAAAATTTAGGTTATAGATTTTCTTTTTATTGAAACTCCAAGCTTTCAGAAAATATATAGTTTAATGGGGTTAGGTTGATTTAAAAAAATGGTTGTCCAATGCTAATTGGAGAGTATTTTTGTTGTGATAGGTGTCGCTTTTTTAATTGACAACACATTCCAAATCAGTTTGCATCATTTATCATTTTATGATTTTATATTATTTCCAATCAAAAACTGGTCAAATCATGTCTATATATCAGTCAGCATAACATGAGTATTGTTAGTATTAGCTGCCTTCTTTTTATCTCACTTACTGGTAATACAATTGAACTTATTTATGGAATGTGTATTTGGCTATATCGATTATTTGTTTTTCTTGATAAGGAAATAATTTTACTTGGAACACTTGAATCTTGATCAAGTGTTCATTCGACAGCATTACAGTGTCTAGGATAAAGGAGAAGAAGAAATCTTGATTGATCGAACGAATAATATCTGGATAGTGAATACAGGTAATTTTATTTATTTCTATAAGATAATCAAGTCTACAAAAGCCCATTTCATTGTACAAAAACCTAAAAAATAAGAAATCAAAAGATCATATTGTGCAATGGGGATATGGAAAAATATATTCATATTGTACATAAATGACATTTGTATATCTTGGATTGCTTCTAGTTTGGCTAATAAGTGGCCTCTTATATTTTGATGCATAGTATTTTCAAAAAGATTACATGGCTGAAATTCTCACAGGAACCTGTATCAACACCTGAGAGTGACATCTATTGGTGATTACTCTACCGAACTGACAGAAGTCAGCTCTGGTATGCTGGATTGAAAATTCTTGTAGAGAAAAAATCGCCTGCTTGAAGTTGGAGAAAACCACTTCACAAGACGGCATATTTGAACGTTCCGTCAGCTGGTTTTTGAGCCAGCTGTGTTCAGTAAATTGGTGACCAAACCCCGGAAATAACCCTGTATCTCTTATAAGAGATATATTCCCAGGGTTCTGTTACCAACAGATGTTGATACAGGTTCCTGTGGAAATTCTTTAAATTACAAGAGGGCGTAGGCTTATTGCAAAAAACTAAATAATCTGAAATATACAAATGTCATTCATGTACAATATGAATATACTTTTCCATATATTATTGCACAATGGTCCCCTGATTTCTTATTTTTGGGGTTCTAGTCTACTGATGAAATAAAACAGTGAAGTTGGCTGTAGTTTTGTGACGAAATAATCATGCCAGGTAAACCTTAACCTTTCCTTAGCAATTTGACAATCTGCTCACAGAGTTGGAGACAGTACACTAGGCCTAGTGTCAGAAGTAAATAAAACAAGATTGACTGTCTATCATCTATGGCTATAGACTATAGTGCACTAATAGCATAAGCACTTACATAATCTAAACCTGTACAGCTGGCTGTAGTAAAAATAGACTTGTAATTGTAAACTCAATATCTACACCTAGTCAGAAGAGATTTGAAGTTCTGGCTTGTTATACAGCTCCCCGGATGAGCATGTCGACGGTTATAACATTGGTGTCAGATCCCGGGTGTCTGATGTTGGATTTTCCTTGTGAATCATCAATCAGTTATGACAGGACAATTATCTTCAAGGGGGATGGTGTAATGAGCCTCCATAGCAAGTTGCTGCTATAGCCTTGCTTTACATGTAGTTGGCTTGAGCAGTAGAGTGTCAAGACTTTTCTGACAGTCTTCTGGTTTCGATTCTCACACGTGGAATTTTATTAAGCACACACCCTTTCACGTCTAGTACTGGCTTGTTAACTACAGCTCTTGGCCCTGGATGAGCATGCCCATGCAGGGTTGTTACATTCTCTGTATTAAAGAATATTAGAGTGGGGCAACTTCCCTGGGGGGGTTCATTTTATATATCCTCCACGCACATGGGGTACTTTTTAGCTCACACAGTGAGCTATTGGAATCACTCACTTGTCCGTCTGTCTGTTTGTCTGTCCATCCATCTGTCCATCTGTCAACAATTGGCCTGTTTTAAAACCTCTGTCAATTGGATTCCCGTTTTAAATTATTTTTGTTCAACATCAATATAGAAAACACCCTTATGACTATGGTCGCCATTTTTGTCTCAAGAAATTCATTTCTTGCCCATTTCCTAGCTTTACAAATAATTTCAGGTGTCCTGCATTGTTAAAAGCCATGTCACTGTAAAGAGTAGCTGTATGAAATAATTTTATTACAAAAATCGGCAAAAAATTATATCAATTTGTTTATTTTCAGTCATTTTAGTTAACATTGATTTTTCTATCTGTCTCGCTAAATCCATTTTTGGACCATTTGCCTTAAAACCTTGTTGATAGGATTCCTGTTTTGAGTTATTTTTGTTCAACATCAATACGGAAAACTACCCTATGACTCCTGGTTCAAAAGCTTGCATATTTTCAAAATTGTTGCCATTTTTGTCTCGCGAAATTCACTTTTGGCTCATTTCCTAGCTTTACAAATAATTTCACTGTAAAAAGCCATATCGATGTAAAGAGTACATGTAGTTGTATGAAATAATTTTGTTACAAAAAATCTGCAAAAATATATCCATTTTTTATTTTCAGCATTGTTACTTAATATTGATTTGTCCATCTGTCTCGCAAAATAGACTTTTGGACCATTTGCCGTTGATAGGATTCCCGTTTTAAGTTATTTTTGTTCAACATCAATACAAAAAACTCCCCTATGACTCCTGGTACATACGTATATGTGTATTCTGTGCAAAACTGAGATGTTTGAATAGCGAAGAGTTTAAGCATCGCATATGAAATCGAAACAAAATAATTCTACATGTACAGTGTATCGAAATCAGAATTATCAGTATGATATTCAATAAACACGAGTATAATGATTCCCGTTGACACCAATGCGAGATTTCAAGTTTGCCATTCTGGACAGGAAACTCCTCTGAAGGAGACTAAACCGCATACAAAACTATGTGCGCTCAAAACATTCATATATTGATTCATGTACTTCCCATTCACGTTTAGGTTTTGAAAAACAGTGCAAGCTTAAAGTCTCCAGTGTCCTGTAACATTTACAATCCCAGGCAAAGGGAATGTGCGGTGGTTCTGTATATTGAGACATTTTAATGGCATTTGTTACATGAGAAAATGTTTATGCTCCCTATCAGGAATTTATTCCCCTTACTCACTGATTTATATTTGTGTAAGAACAGACCGACTGTGAGGATAAATTGGATATTAGAAACACAGTGTAGCTTAAAATTCAATGATCAAATGTGTATATCGTTTGTTTGCCAACAAGCAGTAACATTACATGTTAACTTTTGGCATAACTATTCTTCCTTCTGCTTTATTTTAATGGATGTGGTATATAAAAAATAAATCACAAAAAAACACTCAGACATAAAAATGTCTAAAAATCATATCAACTCATTTTTACTTCCAGTTCACTCAGCAAATACTTGTGCCGAATGGGGATTAGCTGGCCAAATATCTGGTATGAGAATTTATTATTTGTTTCAGCCTTATTTTATAAACACTTATCGGTTGAAAGTGTAAATAAATATTTGTCACATTGTTTGCTGTATTTTTATACACTTTAGGGGTACCATCATTTATTTTCTGTGTCATGTATTTTCTTAATCCATGCATTAGAAAATTGAGATGTTTATTTATCATTGTGACTCAGCATGATTTAGCAGAACTCATAATATTGATCATATACCTCGCTGTCAGACCAACCTTATAAGAATCAATCACTGAAGGCATCCATTCAAGTCTAGGATTCATTCTTTCAGTCATCAAGAATACAAAATTCTCACTTTGAACCATACAAAAATATTGGCACAGATCTATGCATGCAATCAAACTTTTTGGTAAATTTTTTTTTGGTAAGTGTAGATTTAACCTGGAAGTAACATGTACTAAATTAGTTGTATAAAATAGTGAGTTCATATCCCACCTTTGGTATCAGGAGCCTGTGGAAATGGACTAGAACGGTGCAAAATGCTTGACTGGTATGGCACAAGCGTTTTTTTAATTACCCATTATTTGCTAATAGGCATTTCTGCACATCAGTTTAAAATCAATAGAACAAACCACATAGAGTTTAAGTCAATAGAACTTGTTTAAGTATTCAGCAATTTATGAGCTATTTAAATTCAAAAATAAATATGACACACACCGTACAAGCAAAAGTGAGCCTTTGGCACTATTCTGATTCATTCTCATATGCTCTGTAAGTCAAGTGTGTATCATTCAATGTTATTATTTTTATTTATTCATTTTTTATTCCCAAGTAACATATTTACATGTGCATTACAAAATATTTACAATCTCTCGTTGAAAGACAATAAATTTTCTCCACAGTTCTTATATTTGAAATCATGAATAGTTTTCTTAATTAAGAGCGTTTCGTAAAATAAATCTGGCTTCATTTCAGTCAGACCTAACTTTTCATTATCGTTTAACTGGCTACCTTGCCATAAAATCCTTATAGAAGGACAAGTAACAAGAAAAATGTAAGTTATCATTCAATATTATTAATATTATAGATATTTTTTCTTAAATAGGACATAACGTATCTACTGCAACCTATGCTGATACACCTGGTGCAGAGAAAACCAATGATCCTACAATGGCAGATGCACTGAATGATAACCCAACAGGAGGTAGCTACAAGAAAACTGAGGATAAAGACCAAGGGCTTAAAGATGAAGACCTTTTCCGACCAATATTAAGCGGTGGTAGATTCCAGAATCCATGGTCTGGATGGAAAATGCCTGGACTTGGAGGGGTACTGAAATGGAGAATGACTCAGAATGACCAAAGCAACATTCCAAAGAAAAAGGTATGTGTACAGTCTTATACATTCTCATACTCAGACCATCTCTGCCATAAGAATCTTTAAGGAAACTGATAGAAGGCTGGCATATCTCACAATGAGTCTTATATGGGTTCACTCTATTTGGCCAAAGCAACACAGTTCTCACTTGTGGATGCAGAAGGTAACAAGGGGGAGCTAATTTCAAATCCAAAAAAGATTTCCGTGCTGGCGCGGAAAAAATTTTGGGCACCTAAATCCCAAATTGGGCCCAAATTTTGAAAATTTAAGGCCCATTCTTTGATAATGGACCCCATGCCCCCACCCCCTGGATTCGCCAGTGGTTCTATAATAAGTATATGGAAGGTAGTAAATTCCTTCATCCTGTGACTTACACTTTTGAGCTGCACCTGCAACCTACAGGGTTACCAAAAATATGACCTGTAGGCTACAAAATTTGGCCTATCACTTGAATATAACCTAATTTGAGTTACATGTCAGAGGAGAGTTTTTTGCCAAAATGAGACACCTCTACTGCCTAGTTATTAATATCATGAAAAGTTCAAAACGAGGAGAGATTTTGTCAAGTGGGATTTTCTACTCCTGGAGTTGCTGTGTTTCTAGTTCATTATCCCATCTAACAAAGTTCAAGAGAAACTTACATTAATCCATATGTTTACTCAGATAACTAAATGAGAATGAATTTCCAATATGGCCACTCAGCTCAAAATGGCCACCAAACTAAAATACTAATTGATTGATTTGGTTTAAAATGTATGTGCTTCAGCACTCATGTTTGAGAAGGGGAACAGAGGATACTGCCTGGTTATATCTATCATGTAATGCTCAAAATGACATGAGTTGCTGTTTTTATCACACCAGGCAATGCATTTGAGGATTTAATTTCAAATTTTCATAGATTTTTCTTTGTTTGAAAATCTAGACCTGATAATTTTTTAATTATTTTGAATTTTCATTCTTGAAAACTTATTTGTAAAGTCTTGTCTATGGATTTCCAGCCAAACCATTTGACAGATTGAGATCAAACTTTTAGGAATGTTTCTTGGTATGAAACCCAAGAATGGATTTAAGTTTTGGGACTTTTGGGTAAATGTTAAGGGAACTGTGTCAGATATTCAGTCATAAAATCTTGTCTACATGTTTTAAGCCAATCCATTCTATGGATCAATCTAAAATTTCAGGGGATGCTTCCTGGTATGAAGGTCTACACTTGATTGATTGATACTCTTCCAGCATGGTTTTATTTCAAAATTATGAGTGGTTTGATAAAATATATTTTGCTAATTGGAATTTGCTACTCTGGGAAGTTACTGTTTTTTCTTGTTATAGCTTTATTTCTAACATTGACCTTTCTAATGATATATTCAAATAGCATCAATTTTTCATCAATGTTTGCTTACTAAAACCACAAACAAAGCCTTATGTGGTTGGCTGTTACTTATAATAGATAATGATAGTTTTAGTTGAAACATAACCAACCATTCCCTATTTGTTCAGCTTAGATTGGTTTCTATACTGCAAATATATAAATTATTTAAATTTCATATTCCTTTCAATAATTTCCATGCCGTTATAATTGGCTCTCAATTTTCACAAAAATGAGAATCAAAAATATTTTTCTCCTTTATTTTGTATGTCATTCAAACACTGTTTTTCCTCTCTCTTCTCCCTTTTTTATGTCACCACCAGAAGTGGTGAAATGTTGTTCTAAATGTTTGTGATGAAATATTTCACATTTCATCAATAGGTACAGTATTCATGAACTCTTAATTAAAATATCATGTAGTAAAATCAAAAATAGAATGTTCAAGAGATATCAATAAAAAAATGAAGATAACATGTATTCAATACTTAAATTTATATATAGATATACCAAAAAATTAGCCAATCCATTCACATTTTAGAGGAATGATGTAGAATTGGCGTAAACCTGACAGTTATTTTATGTGCTGGAAGATATGTAGGCGTCATTCCAACAATAGAAAAAAAAAATTAAAACATTCTAAAAACATAATAAAACCAATCATAATTGAACGCGTAATTTACATGGAAACAGCAAGAAAAATATTTGAAATAAAAATGATACTTTTCTTCATTTTTATTTTTATTTGTCATATAAATCTTGTGTCCGCTTTTGATGAAACGATAGGAGTTGAAAGAGTTAGTAGAATGGCAGGATGTGACACAAAGGAGGGGTGTAACACCGTAGATTTGGGACATGCTATTAACAGCTTTGGACTGGATCTCTACAAACTCCTCCCTACAAATAAAGATGGGAATATTTTCTTTAGTCCATTTAGTATCTCAACAGCACTAGCAATGACGTACCTCGGCACAGCAGGGAAAACTGCACAAGAAATGGAGGACACTCTGAAATTTGATCGATGTCCCAATTATCATGAGCTATTCAAGAATCTGTTGAATGATATTAACAGGAAAAACCAACCATATACTCTTAAGTCTGCCAACAACCTTTTCCCTAATATGAGACTGGATGATTCATACCTAAAGGAGGTTGCAAATTACTATCTAGCTCAGATAACACAGCTTGATTTTTCTAATGCAGCGTATGTCACAAAATATATTAATGAGTGGGTTTCAAACAATACTGAAGAAAAAATCAAAGATATAATAGACCCTGGAATTATTGGACCTCTTACAAGACTCGTTCTTGTCAATGCCATATATTTTAAGGGAGATTGGAAGTATACATTCGATAAAAGGGACACAAAACCTATGCCATTTTACCCTGCAGATGCAAAACGCTATAAGGTGGACATGATGTTCCAAACATTAAATAAGACCCAAGATTTCATATACTTTGAGGATCATACCTTGAATGCTCAAATATTGGAACTGTTCTACAAGGGAGAAGACATCAGCATGGTTATTATCTTGCCCATAATACGAAGAGGACTAAAAACAAATATCACGGATCTGGAAGCAGCGTTAAACATCACGACCCTCAATAATATCCAATCAACCCTGGCCAACTATGACTTCAGCAAACCGCGACGGGAAGTGAATGTTAGAATCCCAAAGTTTTTGATAGATTGGAAATCTGATATTGAAGCACTTCTAAAACAACTAGGAATGCAGGATTTATTTTCATCTGGAAATTTCAGTAAACTTTGTGGCTGTAGCTTGCCAGTTACTGATGTTATCCATCAAGCATTTGTTGAAGTTAATGAAGAAGGTAATGATTCATAAATTTGTTTTTGTTATATTCATTCAGTCTGGAGGCAAACTAAAGGTTGGAGTAGTACAGGGTGTCTCAAAAAAATGTAGACCAGCATCTGGACAGAAATCAAAACATTCCACCAGAAATATCAAATGTGATGAACAATGTAGTACTAAGGATGCAGACTGTCATCGAAATATGAGGTTACATTAAATATTTGGTGTCAAAGGTAATGGGTTAAAGTATCAAAAAGGCAAAAATGGATCAATTTACTGTGTATATGGGAAAAAAATATTGATTGGTTTGACATGCTGTTGATATACTTTTGGGTACATTTTTTGAGTCACCCTATACATAATGGAAATTATTAGTTTTTAGAAAAATAAATTAATTTTTCTGGTGGTCTTATGGGGATATTCATGAACAAGGAATTAATTTGAAAAAGTTTTAGTAATTCAAAGTACATAGCTTTTATGTATAACTTGATTTCATGGGAAATGTTGCCTTTTACAGGCTGATCCAAAAATGCAACCATCTGATATTGATATCTTCTTGAATTTACTCACATGCAGGGTGACAGCTGGAAAAGTACATGTATCATCATATGATACATGTATTGTTTTATTGAATTAAATGGGTTGATATTATATCTATGATGTTCTTTTTTCATTCATGGCTGTCATGCTTTGTGATTATTTTTACTGTGCAGGGACAGAAGCAGCTGCTGCAACTGTAGTTTTTATTGCTAAATCAATAGGATCAGGACCTGTGGATTTTAGAGCTGACCATCCCTTCTTGTTCCTCATCCGACATAGATGCTCCAATATTATCTTGTTCATGGGATGTGTCTCAAAACCAAGTAAGAAGGTCACATTTGGGTGGAACTTGAACCTTGTCTGGTTAAATAGTCTTCATTTTAATTGATTAAAATCCAAAATTTGGAAAATGTTCTTGAAGGTTCCTGTTTTCATTATCATATTAAAGTCATACATAATCATAATATTTATTAGGAAGCCCCAGGCTGAAAGCATTATTGTCCCACCTCCCAAATTGCCATTTGAAACTAGGACCTACTTTAGCTGGGATGAAAATTACAATACATCATTACTGTAAATTTAATATTTTAGACAAAGCTGAGAAGAGAATATCATGTCTTACTGAAAAACCATGTTTGAAACTCTACAATGGTGAACCAGCACCGAAGTGTTGTGGTTGTAGGTTTCAGTTCAAGGACCCATCTGAAAAGGTTTGTGTATTTCTTGTATTGTTCAATGCCATTCCTGTAATTCTTCAAATGTATCAATTGGTTTTCTGTTCATCTTTATTGATATGGCAATTTTCAATGTGAAAGTTACACTGTACAATTAAAACAATGAATCGATTGCCATTTCATCTTAAATCCCATAATTGCTGTACAATTGTGTGCTTAAAATGGCATAACATTACAGGATGGGCCAATATAAATAAGATTTGGATAGTAGTAGTTTTGGCCCAGCCTGTATATTATACAAATGAATAATAATTTGGTTTTAGTGGTATATATTCATCGAGTATTACAAAGGAAGTTAGAATAAATTTTGTTTAACATACGAAATCCACATAATAAAAATGCACTATTAATTTTATTTTGTAGAAATCAAAGCCTCAATCACCAATGAGGGTTCTAAAAAAACTTAAGAAGCAGGGCAGAGATGATTGCTTTGAGAAATGTCTGAATGACGATTGTAGGAAAAAATTTGGATTCAAATGAGCACCTCTTCAAAAGGAAGACATAATACAGTATATGCAGTATATAATATGCAGTGATCTCCCCAGCATTAAAGCAAGTGGGCGTAGCACCCACCTAAAATTTTGAAAAGAGGCTTCCACCCACTTGAAAAAATCATGAAACAATTTTGGTCTAAATTGTGAAAATGGGAATTTTGCACCCACTTGAGAAAAAGTTCTGTGGAGATCACTGATATGTATATTCAGGATTTACAACAAACTAACAAATTGAGAGACATTGTACAGTGAGACCTGTTGGTGGAACACTTTTCAGTCTCAAAACCAACTGACTTAATGTTTAATGAAAGTGGAACACCTCTCAAGGGGAACACATTTTAGAGGTATCAATGGTGTTCCACTGGACAGGTTTTACTGTCTCATGTACAGGGCTAACTATCTATAAAGTGATCCCATTGAAGCTGGTTGTTTATGCAAATGAGAATGGAATAATGGTAGCAGAGTTGATGGAAGGAAATGTGTTGCATATTCAGGATTTGGATTTGGACAACTGTGATCTGATACTTTTCAATGTACAGAATAAATTCTGATAATAAATTAGGGTTATCACAAACAACAAATATTACTTGTTCAATTTAAATTAGAAAAGTATGAATGTTTATGTCACTATCAAGAAATTGTGACATATTGTTAGAGCCACAGTTTTTGCGACTGGCATTTTGCATTGGTGCCTGAAACATATTGTTGCACTTTATTATTGCAAGCAGGTGGTGATATTTTGTCATTTCAAAAGACAACAGGGGAAATAATGTATCAATGCATAATTCAAAGATGAACCTATCTTAGTAAAGACATGGGCTTTCAAGAGAAGAGCCCGTGGTTCATTTTTACCATGGGCTTTCAAGAGAAGAGCCCTGTGGTAAAGATGAATCACGGGACTCTTCTCTAAATTAAGATAAGTTCATCTTTGAATACTGGATTATTATCCCAACGAACGAAGTTCTGTAGGGATTTAGTGAAGCCCTCCGTCCGTCAGTCAGTCAGTCAGTTCGTCCGTCTGTCCGGAAGATAACTCGAATACTAGTTGACAGATTTTCTTCATATTTGGTGGGAAGATGTATATTGGTAAATAGTTTTAACTAAAATAGTTTTTTTTCAAGATGGCCCCCAGTTTAAAAATGGCGAGAATTTTTCGCAAAAATCTTATGTTTTTCATTTTTAACCAAAATAATAAATATTATTATTTGAAATTTTGGTAGTATATAACAACATCTATCTATTTCACATATATCCCGGGTTTTTCACCCTGACCCCCAGGGGCCGTAAATGGGGAATTGGGAAAACAGTAATTTGCGTTAATTTTGAGATGTTTTTAAAGTATAGCTTTATTATACTCAAATGAAAGGCAACTTAGGGTAGATTGCAAATATTGTAGCGTTTTTCTGATTTGGGCCTCAAAAAATCAAAATTGCCACTTAATGCGGGATTACGCACTTATTTTCTGATCTCTTAAAAGTATGGCTATATTATACACAAATTGAAGGAATTTCAGAGTAGATCACAATTATGGCATTGTTTTTCTGATTCTTCTCTGAAAATTCAAAATGGCTGACTAGAGCAGAAATTCGCCATTACTTAGAGTTATCTTGAAAGTATGGTTACATGATACTACAATGATTTAAAATATTTATTGAAGGTAAGAGTAGATGGTAAATATTATATTGTGACTGTACAGATTGATGATTTATATAGTGTTTGTTGGGATTTGCTACTCCGTGGAGTTGCCATTTTCTAGTTCACTTTTGACCAAATATTCGTAAAAATATTCATTGTGAAAATGTATCTTGTGTATTGTGTCACAATCTTTACAGTATATCTTTAATTATAGTATATAAAATCTTTACTTAAAGTATATAAATCTTTACTGATATTACTATAAATCTATACTGATGGTATATACACTATTAACTTAAGGTATGTACAATATTTACTTACAGGAGGAGTTAGATGAAACACTTCCTGTTCAAGATGTTGATATCAATGAAATATCACAACCACCAAAAAATGGAATGAGAGTAACATGGATGGGACACGCATCAGTTCTAGTGCAGTTTGATGAAATATCAGTACTAACAGACCCCGTATTCAGTGAACGCTGCTCACCAATGCCATCTATTATGGGACCTAAGCGCTATCGTCCTGTTCCGTGTCAGATAGATGACATTCCTACATTAGATGCTGTTGTAATCAGTCACAATCACTATGACCATCTTGATCATGGAACAGTTGTCCAACTGAATAAAAAATTTGGTTCAAAATTGAAATGGTTTGTACCAATGGGACTTAAATCCTGGATGAATGACACTGGATGTAAAAATGTTGTGGAGATGACATGGTGGGAAGAGCAGCCTCTTTCTGAACATGAGACAGCTGGGGCGACATCTGGTGGCAGTGGGGTAAAGTTTGTCTGTTTACCATGTGCTCACTGGTGCACAAGGAAGGGTCCTATAGATTTTAATAAGGTGAGGAGTATTTTATGTATCTAAGCTTGTATTTGCAAATGCAACAAACGCCCGTCGACTTCCAGATTTGCCTGCTATTTTATGGGCAACTCATTTAAATATGAAAAGTACCTGTCACTATTCCATTCATACTTAAATGAGTTGGTCATGAAATATTAGGTTAATCTGGTAGCTGACAGGCGTTAGTTGAATTTGTGAATATAAGCTTAGATAAGTGTTACATGTATTATTTTGACTAATAAACTGTCAATTTACCCTTTGCATTCGTTTAACTTTGCTTCTTAAAACATGTAAAAGAGAGCTTCATCTTCACTCTTTCAGTTTACATTAAATCTCTCAACTCACCGAGCCAATCAGAGTTTGTCGTCAAAATAGGGACAACTTTCTATACATGGTCATGTCCTCTTACATCACTGCATACTGTAGTTAACGAGCATGCATTTAGCATGTGTTCCTTCATTCTGCTGATTGGTTGATAAAAGGCTGGGGTGTCCCAGGCATCAGTCGTGGGGCTGGGGCTGCTAAACTGTAATGGGTTATGGTAACCATATCCTATAGCGTAGGATTTCATACTGTTGAAAAATATGGAAATTATCCTGTTGTTTTATGCTATAAATAACTTCATAACTCATGAGATTAACAAAATTTTTGAAGTTCATACAATGTTCTTATCATAGGTGTTGTGGTGTAGCTGGGGTGTGATCGGTCCATGGAACAGATTCTATTTTGGAGGAGATACTGGTTATTGTGAGGGCTTTAAACAAATTGGGAAAAAATATGGACCATTCAATCTAGCAGCTATTCCTATAGGAGCATATGAACCCAGGTAAATAGATGTAGATTGTAGATGTAAAAATACTTTAAATATTTGATGGCAGGTTCACTTAGACTGACAAAATAATACAATCAGTTGAAGACCATATTAAAAACATTGCTTGCTGTACTTTTGCAAAATCAGGATATGTGCCTCAACATAGGACAACCAGCCTTATCACAAAAATTAAAATTGTGCTACAGACCCAAAAATGTGCCCAAGATTAAGAGGAAAATGTGCTAAATTCAAATCCGTCTTTTTGGTCCATATCTGCAAGGAAGAATTGTTAAGACATAAGCCATGGCTCATTTGAAAGGTCTCTGCTTTTTAAAATACATAAAAAAATCAAAATATTGAAAAAATCCTATCCCTTTTCCTATGCCCTGGCTCATATATAACTGCATACAATATATACAACCCTTTATTTTGGAAAGACTTGATATATTTGCCATTTCCATCCCTACCTTCCCTTATAGGGCAGAAATGAGAAATGTGCCTTACTAAAAGTAGACCTCATAGAAAAATGTATTTGCAGAAACTTTATGAAATGTCAGCATGTCAATCCAGAAGAGGCTGTGATGATACATCAAGATATAGGGGCCAAAAAATCTGTAGGGGTCCACTGGGGAACATTCAAACTCACAGATGAGGTAAATTTATCTGCTATATTTGGTTTGTCACCTTGCTGTTACCTAGCCATGAACATTATAAGCAATAATGCAGTTTGATTACAGTATTACATACCCAGCGAAGCATTTGTATTGAAGTCAATGGAGCTGAAGGTCGGCTATATATTCCTGTATAGCCGCCAAACCTTTTACCATGACAATCTTATGACATCATCGGGACGTCATGTTTCATTTCTTCCTAATTTCACTCGCACACAGACACGTGGCATCATTGATATAACGTAGCCATGATATAAAAGTATTGTCGGACCTGGCCAAAATCTGGTAGTGTGGTTGTGGTCGGGTCACGAACAATTTTTATTATTTATTATGGGATTCTCACTGGTCTTATGTGGGCGCAGACCTGGTTTGGTGGTACTGCTTTCACTGAAAGGGGAGGTTGTTACACATATGCATACAGAATACAGATATACAGTTTTTATAATTTATTAACACTAATTTTTAACAACAAATAAAACACAAATGTCCATGTAATAATTAACTCTGAGTTGTCTTGTTGCTCTTCTCTTGTTTGCACTCTGCTCTACTTTTACTCTTCTTCACTCTGTTCAGGGGTTACTCTGCTTTACTCTTCTGTTCTCTACCCACATTTACTCTGCTTTAGTTTCACTCTGTTCAGCTCTTCTTACTCTTTATTCTGCTCTGGTTACTCTTTACTCCTTTCTGTTCTGCTCCGTTACTCTTTATTACTCATTTGTTCTGCTCTGCTTACTCTTTACTCCTTTCTGTTCTGGTTTACTCTGTTCTGCTCTCTTTATTCCGCTCTGCTCTGCTTACTCTTTACTCCTCTGTTCTGGTTACTCAGGATTACTCTTCTTCAGCCCGGGTAACTCTTCTTTACTCTTCACCGCTCTGCTCTACTCAGGGTTACTCTTCTTCAGCCTGGGTTACTCTTTACTCCTTTCTGTTCTGCTCTGCTTACTCTTTACTCCTCTCTGCTCTGGTTTACTCTGTTCTGCTCAGGTTACTCTTTACTCCTTTCTGTTTCTGCTCTGCTTACTCTTTACTCCTTTCTGTTCTGCTCTGCTTACTCTTTACTCCTCTCTGCTCTGGTTTACTCTGTTCTGCTCTCTTTATTGCGCTCTGCTCTGCTTACTCTCTATTCTGCTCTGGTCACTCTTTATTCCGCTCTGCTTACTCTTTACCATGTTCTGCTCTGCTTACTCTTTAATCTATTCTGCACTGCTTACTCTTTAATCGGCTCTGCTCTGCTTACTCTTTAATCTGCTCTGCTTACTCTTTAATCTGCTCTGCTTACTCTTTATTCTGTTCTGCTCTGCTTACTCTTTATTCTGCTCTGCTTACTCAGGACTGCTCTTCTTCAGCCTGGGTTACTCTTCTTCAGCCTGGGTTACTCTTCTTTACTCCTATCTGCTCTGGTTTACTCTGTTCTGCTCAGGTTACTCTTTACTCCCTTCTGTTCTGCTCTGCTTACTCTTTACTCCTTTCTGTTCTGCTCTGCTTACTCTTTACTCCTCTCTGCTCTGGTTTACTCTGTTCTGCTCTCTTTATTCCGCTCTGCTCTGCTTACTCTCTATTCTCCTCTGGATACTCTTTATTCCGCTCTGCTTACTCTTTACCCTGGTCTGCTCTGCTTACTCTTTACTCTATTCTGCACTGCTTACTCTTTAATCTGCTCTGCTCTGCTTACTCTTTAATCTGCTCTGCTTACTCTTTAATCTGCTCTGCTTACTCTTTACTCTATTCTGCACTGCTTACTCTTTAATCTGCTCTGCTCTGCTTACTCTTCAATCTGCTCTGCTTACTCTTTAATCTGCTCTGCTTACTCTTTATTCTGTTCTGCTCTGCTTACTCATTATTCTGCTCTGCTTACTCTTTATTCTGTTCTGCTCTGCTTACTCATTATTCTGCTCTGCTTACTCAGGACTGCTCTTCTTCAGCCTGGGTTACTCTTCTTTACTCCTCTTGGCGAATAGATTGGGAATATCGATCAAATTCTGAGATTAGACCCAACTATCTGCCCTCAAAGGAAATAAAGCGATCACTTCAGTTGGAATCCCTGTTGTTCCAAAAAACACTCCTCCAGACGAGTAATTCGGGAATATCAATCAAATTCTGAGATTAGACCCAAATTACTAGTCACATAATAAATCTGCTACCCCACAAATACACTTGCTCTTGGTGGGACTCAAGAATGTCAATCAAATTCTGAGATTAGACTTGAGCCACATGTGAACCGGAAGTCATACAAGATGGCGGACTTGCTGAGGATTGTTGGAAAATGATGATGCAATCACAAAATAGCCACGCTGATTAGCAAAGAATCATCAAGTAAAACCCTCTAATTCTACCTCAGAATGAATTATAAACTCAAATCAACACTCACAAATTCTCCAAAACGTCTTCTAGGCGCCTCTAGACTGCAACTTCTCTGGCAGTACTCCCTGGTCAACACATCAGGCCAAACGGCTCTATATCCAAGTGTCACTGTTGATTCCCGTCACAAAACAGTGAAAATACTCCATAAACTCCAATATCCACGATTAAACTCCAAAATTCCTCACATCGAGTAATACTCCATCATAAAATCACCTTTCCGCCATCAACATCATGAGCCAGCTTCTAAAAATGACACTACAGGTCCTTACTCTGTGACTTCTTGAGCTAGACTAACATCAGGTGTTCAGATCATGTGCTATCTCAACCCACTAATGAGATGCATAGGGAAGCTATCTGATTGGCTACAGCTGGACTGAGCTGGTGTGTTTACTCCATTTGGTGATGCATTGTGGGAAATCACTATAGCAATGTCAATCAAGTAGCCTCTAATTGCTGATGACTCATAACCATGTGGCCTATTTCTCCTACAGGTTGACCAATTCTAGGGCAAGGGTCCCCGCACAAGCAAAGAGTAAGGTTACTCTTACTCTTACTCCCAGCTTACTCCTTGAGTTTATGGTTACTCCTAAGTTACTCCTTGATCGTTGCACTTACTCTTAGTTTACTCCTTAACTTACTAGCAGCACATGAAGTGTTAATTATGAATAAAATAGTCTAAAAAAATAACAAAAAGTGGGGAATTTCTAAATTTCCCACACACCCCCCATCTTAAATCAATGCGCCCTCGCATTGCTACTCCTAACTTAACAATTAGTAACCAACTTTCTTAATCCACAATTCCATGAACTACAAAAACAACATATTCGAACATTTAACATCTCAGAGTGTATGATGTTACAATTACTCATCATCACCTTACATTAACTCAAAAAGCTTAAATATCTCTTCATAAAATTATCACATATTTTAATACAATAACAATAAACTACAGGTTTCTAAATAAAACTGCTCCTTTACCACTACAACGTGTACAAATGCACATGTGTTACTTACAAGCAAACATCTTAAAATAACTCATATACTCCTGTCTATCACTGTTCATATACACCTACATCACTAAATGTCTTTAAATATACCCATAATAACCTTTACTCCTCAATCTGTAAACATTGATCTATCAGTGCAACTAAATTAAGAGTTCATAACTTATCACTTTCTATGTGCACACACAATGTGCTGCTACAGGAGTTTGTGTTCCTTGGTCGATCTGTGTACTCATAGTGACCACTAGCTCTTTTGATGGTCCTTGGAGGTTTGTCCCATCTCTGTAGTCTGTTCCTCTTCCTTCCTTATTCCTCTGATTAAGTCCAATCGCTTCACGTTTCAATCTTGGCATCTCCATCTTACTCATCACCACCTTTCTCCTTAAAGCAGACTCTCTTCTATCACTCACCAAGGATCCGTGTATAGAAAATATCCCTTCTTCCCCATTGGGTGGCAACTTCTCACTCTTAGAATCTTTACTCATCCCCAAGTCATCTTCTCTATTCATCCACCCATTGGCTCTACTCCTGGTGAACAGCCATCTCTGACTTCTACTCTTTTGGGGGCCTCTATGAGTAGAATCATCATAATCACTCCTTGCTGACTCAGGAGCTGGAGTAACCTTCTTCATTTCACTCTGCATGTTATAACTTCTAGGAGGTTGTCTTCTCTTACTCCCTTGCAACATCTTAGTCTGAGTAGGCACTCCTCTCTCCTTGCTACCCTCGTGAGTAACTCTTCTCACCTTCCTCACTTGAGGTGGCTTCCCCGGAGTACAACTTCGGAAATTACTCTCTTGAAACTGAGTAGACAACACCCCCTTCTTCCTCTGCTCTAAATCCTTGCTCTGAGTATGCTTACTCTTTAGTGAGCAATTCTTCTTCTGTGGTTGGCTGGAGGAGCACAGCATTATTTCTGCTACATCATGTTTCCTCTCCTCACGGTCCTGTCTGTTGAAATAAATTCTAAGATCAGCATAGTCTATAATTGCTCCGCTTGCAGACAAGTACTCTGACCCAAGGATACCATCTTGGGCGATATCTGCTACCACAATATTCATCGGCATAAACTTACCATCCAACTCAATATCACACGAAATCATCCCAAATACAGCTAAGTGGGATCCATCTGCCTGAGTGAAAAGTCGATCTAAGGGCCTCAAGGTAGGGCGATGTCTCTTTGGGATCCGATTGTAGCACCCCCACCCTAGCATACTGCTTACAGCTCCTGAATCCACAAGGAACTCCATCCTAGTCCCACAGATATCAACATCTGCTATAATTTTCCTAACTGGCTCCTCACTATTCGCTGAAGTTATCTCCTCATACCTGTCTGCCATAAACCTCACAGGAGTAACAGAATTGGTTGTATTTGTCCTGGATTGGCCTTTCTCTCTTCTTGGCATCTCTGGTAGTGGACAGTCGTATGACAAGTGACCTGGTTTGTTACAATTGTAGCATGTCAATGTGGGACACCTTCTCACTATATGTCCGTCCTCTCCACATTTTCTACAGGTGGACACGCGTTTGGAGGACCCTCTGTTAGCGATTTCAGCTATTCCTTTACTTATTTCTTTACTCATCTGTCCAAGTGTCTCTTTGAGTGTTTCCCCCAAC